TTCGTAATGTCTGTAACATCCACCCCTGCTGGAGAACATGTACATGAACGTCAACAGTTCGTCGCCCCTTGCCAGCATTTCTGAGGGGCAGAAGCGGCACCTTATCGTTTCAGCTGTATATGTTTTTCACTTTATGAGTGCAGTGCTAGTCCTAAATGTTCTGTTTTTCTGTTATGATCGCAGGCTTTGGTGGACAATGACATGGGCAAAACATTGGCGTCCTTGTGCTGAGATTTAGGCTGTAGAAGTATTGTAAAGAAGAACTAGGTTGTCTCTTTAAAAGTGTAGTTTTGCATAACAACCTTATTCTTGTTTAATCTGTAATTATGATTATACGAAAAAATGACAACAACGACGACAGCGGCAGCAGCAGCAGCAGCAACAACAGCGAATATGAGTGGCCAGGGTGTGGAGAAGGGATGAGAGAGTGTCCCGGGAGTCTGTATACTGTAACGCACCCATACTGCGTAGGGTGGGGCAAGCTATGCTATGAGGACTGTCAAGTATACCCACCTTATGTAAGCCATGGTCTCTATTCGCTCCTCTCCCCACTTTCTCCTCTTCGTTGATTCCGCAAGGACAAGCAGCTGTAAACATCGAACTTATCTTCTGTCCTTCAATGCCATTGGTTCTTCCTTGCATGAATTCTGCTTGGACCTTGTACTCAGTGATGTATTGTTCCATGCGAAGTAAGGCTGCTTGTTTTCACGTGGTATGTGGCTGCTAGTTGTCACCTGATATAAGGTGAGAATGCACCCATCTAAGAATCTCTCCCCTTGGTCGCTGTGTCTAACTTGCCTCCAGAACATGACGAATGGGCCAAGATCCAAGAAGAGGCTGAGGCTGCTGCTAATGCTGTATTCGCTGTCACTTATGCTGCATTTGCTGCCGCTTATGCTACAAAGGAAGCAGGCAATTCCACTGCAGCACATGGTAACCCTATTTCATCAAATGGTAACTCCACAGCAGCAGGTGGAAACCCCACTCCGAACAATGGTAGCCCCATTGCCCCATCAAATGGCATGTCATCGTCACACAATGCCTCTTCCTGTGGGGGTGTAAACACTGCAAAGAGACGACAGGGTGGGGATGAGGGAGGGGAGAAGGGAGGGGAGAAGGGAGAGGGGAACACCAATGGCGTAAGACAAGGAGAGGCTGAGGTGAAGATAGAAACAGCGAAAGAGAGGAAGGCGAGAGAGTGGGAGGAGCTGAAGCAGCTAGCAAGTAACACAGAGAAGGCAAAAAAAGAGGCAGCAGAGAAGAAAGAGAGGGAAGAAGAGGAGAAGGCGAAAAGGGAGGAAGCTGAGAAGGCAAGGAGAGAAGCAGGGAAGGGGAAGGGGAAGGAGAAGGGGAAAGGGAAGGAGAAGGGGAAGGGCAAAGGGAGCAGTAGAAAGTCCCCTAAGCCACAAAAGCAGAAAAATCTCGGATCGGATCATGGTGTACAAAAAGTTTCTTCACAAGGTGAGGCGCAAAGGACTGTCGCACGCGTGGTTTGCGAAAATAACCTGTGATTACGTGTGGGTTGTATACAATCCCATAGCAGTTGCTTGTACACATATTGATTGTTAAAGCCCGTGGCTAGCGAGAAAGGATGCAATATCAGGGAACAGTAGGGGGAGAAGAAGACCGCCGGTAGAGGCAGAAGAGGGAGTGGAATAGCACGGAATGAGGACATCTCAGTATTCCTTCGCAGTCTCTAGAGCCTGGTAGCGGGGGCGCTCAGACAGGGGGAGGGCGCGACTGATAGCAAGCTGCGCAACTGCATCACGCAACTCCCAGATAGAGCGGGCGAGCTCAGCAGCTGCAAAGGCCTCACGCTCAGCGGGCGTGGGGGCGTCAGAGAGGGCAGCAAGTGGGTCGGGGCAGTGGAGCTTACTGTCGACGTGGACGCCCAGAGAGTGGCCAACCTGGCGCTCTCCCCTCAGCGAGTGGCGAAGGTTGGTGAGCCACGCCTCAAAGTCGATCGCCGGACCCTCCGCGTCCAAGCGGAGCACAGCGTCCGCCATCGCCACGGCTGCAGCAGCTGACGGCCGCTAGAGGAGGAGGAGGACAGGGCGGTGGAGAGCGGTGGAAAGCAGCGGTGGAGACGGCCGGCAGGAGCGCCAACGCAGAGGGGGGAACCTAGGCCAACGGGTCGGGGCGGCACAGCGGCACGGCGGCTTGGCGAATCGACGACTCGGCGGCTCGGCAGCTCGGCGGCTCAGCGATGCGGTGCGGTGGCTCGGTGGCTCGGCGCGGCGTGGAGCTAGGGCTGGTGGCAGCTGGGGCCAGCACGGACCGGGGCCGGCGCGAAGAGAGGTCGGCGCGAAAGGGGTAGGGGCCGGCGTGAAGTGGCAAGGCCGGCGCGAAGTGGGGCCAGCACGGACGAGTGGGGTCGGCGCAAAGGGGACAGGGTCAGCACGAAGGGACGGGACCGGCACGAAGTGACGGGGCCAGCACGGACTAGCGGGGCCGGCACGGACTAGCGGGGCCGGCGCGAAGTGGCGGGGCCGGCGCGGACTAGCGGGGCCGGCACGAACTAGCGAGGCCGGCACGAAGTGGCGGGGCCGGCGGCGGACTAGGGCGCGGGGCCAGGAACGCGGGGGCAGGCTAGGGCGCGGGCGTGATCTAGGGGACAGGCGCGAGCGAGGACGCGGACTAGGGCGCGGGCTAGGGCTAGGGCGCGGGTAGGACACGGGCTAGGGCTAGGGCGAGGGCTAGGGCTAGGGCTAGGGCTAGGGCTAGGGGTGGAAGCGTAAGTGGGGAGGGGGGACCTAATCTAGCATGATACCATCTCAAAATAGCGCAATGAGTAGAATGAGTCATACAGAGAGGTTTTGCCCCATGGTGTTGTACTCTCTATGAGCATGCACCTATCTAGCCTATAAAGATATACAAATATATGTTGACTCTTCGTGCTGACCAATGCTGGTGCTCCGCAACACTGTTGCAGCGATGTATCTAGTAAGGATACGCGTGGGCCGCTGGGCATGTGGGCCGTTAGGGCGAGAAGCCAAGGCACTCAGGAATTTATTAGTCTGAAAAAATCCGACTACCATGGTATCAACACCCTGAAAATCAGAGGAAACAGGGCAAATCACCCTGTTAACATGTGGAGAGTAGGAGAAATGCCTATCATAGGATGTGGCTAATGAGCCCAATTTAAGGAGGAAGGTAATTGTAAAAGAACTGTTGCGCATTGTATAGCGAAGGAGGGATCTTTCTACTGGCTCCATCCACGCGTCTTGTAACTGGAGTATTTCCGCCAAATCTGGCGGACACATCAATGCAGCTGGCAACCTGAGATCTTTCCGGTCCCCTTTCCCCTTCCCGCTCGCCCCATCACCCACCTCCTTTCCCCTCCCCTCGGTTGGGCAATTCTTCTCCCCTTCTCCCCTCCACCTATTACGTTACGCGTCTCCGTTCCCCACCCACAGCACTGGGAGAATGACTGCAGCGAACTGTTCACGAAAAACTTTCATACTTTTGTGGACAGGCCATACATTCATGGACAGCACGTCGAACTTTTCCTTCTCCCATGGCCACCTTCCATACTTTCGGAGACTTCTAAATGAAAGGTAATTTGACTGTACAAGTGATGACGGGCGGAAAAACAAAACAATGCAGAATTCGGGGCACGTCGCAAAAAGTCGGAAGCTACAGTCTTCACGACATCCAAATCAGCTACAGCGGGTATGCCATTAAGTCCTCGACATTGTTATCCAGATACTATCCTACCGTCCATAATTCGGTAGGATCCAGCACGCTGTACTCCGTCTGTACGGTATACAACTTTTGTAGTGCATACGGTCAATGTCGATAGACGCCCCCGTCTGCCAATGAAATTTCTGACAACGTCCCTTGCAATTTGGGAGTGGCTGGACGAAAGTCGCCAATTTTTTTTCCCAAAATCCTCTACCGCCCTGCATGCCACTTAGTCGCTATTCCAAATGGAAAACCAACGGCCAATTAAATGTTGCCAGTTGGACTTCCAGCATGCTGTACGCTGGCACGTATACTGTGCAAACATTTTCATCCATTTAGTGTTACGAAAATGGTCATGTTCAAATCCTCTTGACAACAGCAATTCGAAGTATCTGTCATTTTCGAGAACCAATCGCGTACATTTTTAGGCTTCCCGAATGACACATTTGGACGTGACAAATAGGAAAACACGACCCTAGTCTCCTCAATCACCATTAACAACTTCACAATTCGAAAATGATTTTTTCAAGGGGGTCTCTTTCGATGTCGTGAAAACGAGTGGTTGGTTAATAAAAAAGGTCAATAAATTCGTCGATATTTTGTTCCATTTGACCACGTAAAAAGGTTGTCCTGTTTATTTATTTTGCGCGTTTGGAGCCTGCGCAGATTTGGGAAGTTCGAAAACGAGGTGTGCCTTTTTTCGTCCGCGTGCTTCTGACCAGACGACATATTTTTTGTGCGTATTTGTAGAGGTCACATAACCTCTCACATGACACGCGGCAAATTTGCTGGTAACTTGGCTCAAGTGGCCAATACGCCAAGGCACTCATCGTGAACAAAACGAGTAAAACGGTCCATGCCACCCCACTTAAAATCCTTGGTGCTACTCTATGATCCAGTTTTCCTGTTGCGTACCGCCCCTATTCATCGTACTACTTATTTGCGAGTCATGGATTTGGAGATAACGGAATACCCGCTGTAGCTTTTCTGCGTTATTTTATGCAATCCTGCAGCGACGTTCAGAATCCTTTTTATCTACTGTAAGGTATTGGCTACAATCCATACTATGGTATAGCAGGCCTAGCGAGCTCTCGTCATCAGACCAGATAACAACGCAACTGTACATCTAACAAATGTATGCCCAGAGTCCACGAGAGTATGGAAGGTGGCCATGGGAGAAGGAAAAGTTTGACATGCTGTCCATGAAAGTATGGCCTGTCCACGAAAGTATGAAAGTTTTCGTGGACAGTCCGCATCAATAATCTCCCCCACAGCACTCGTTACAAAATATTACACCCCATCACTCACTGCTTCCTTTCATTCTCTCGAGTCCTGAACCATCCGAGTAAGCAAGCAAGTTTTTTCCCCGCTCCCTCGCGACCTCCTCCACTCACTCTCGCAATCCCAAGCATTGTTTCCGCGCAAACAACAGTCTTCGCATCAACCGTCCCCATCGATTGTCATCAACCGCCCCCTCACATCGCCGCACGCCCTTCTAGTCTCCCCGTCCGTCCCTATCCCCCTCCCACACCTCACCGAATCCTTACCCCCAGTAAGCCTTCCTTCCTTCCCAGCTACTATTTCTAGACTACCACCGGTCGGCGCGATGGTGCTGGGGCAGCTGCAAGCCAAGTACCAGGAGGTCGAGGCCAAGGCCAAGGCGTGGGTCGCGCGCCAGCCACCACCGGTCGAGGTGGCGGTCGTCGCGGCGGCGAGCGCGCTGCAGGGCGGCGCGATCGGCGCGATGATGGGCAGCCTGACGTCAGAGGCGGCGGGCAGCATGCCGTCGCCGGCCACCATGCCGGGAATGACGCCGGAGGCCGCGGCGTCGATGAAGCAAATGCAGGTGCGTCATTCACTGCTACCGGATCCTTCCCGCGATCGGCGCGATGATGGGCAGCCTGACGTCAGAGGCGGCGGATAGCATGCCGTCTCCGGCCACTGGGCTGGGAATGACGCCGGAAGCCGCGGCGTCGACGAAGCAAATGCAGGTGCGTCGCGAAGTCACTCTACTGTCTGACCGCTCCCTGTCGTCGGATCGCAGTGTTGTCGGATCGCAGCGCTGTCGGATCGCTCACTATCGCTTACTTTTCACAGCCTTTCCAATCGTGTCGGCGGCGATTGCCCTGTTAGGTGGCGCGATCGGTGCGACATGGGGAAAGTGGAAAGGTTGGGGGGGGAAGGTAGGGGGGGGAAGGTAGGGGAGGGGGGAAGACTGAGCCTTGAGAAGCCGGATCTTGGACACCCGGGGGTTGTATTTTGCCAAACCGAAACCAGCGGCGGCGACGATGGCCTTACGGGCTGGTGCCTCTTGAGAACGAATCGAAAGGGCGCGTGGGAATCTCGTGACTGAATTGCGATCCGCCGATCCGCGCCGATCTGGTCTTTGTGATTTCAGAACTTGCACGCACAGCGATCCAACGATGCCAAGGATGCGTCGCACTGCCATCTTGTCGCGCGTGAAACATGTCGCGTAGCAATGATGTCGCCGGGAAGCGCTTTCTAGTGAGAGACGCACTGTAGACGAATCACTTCCACATAACCCTAGTTGCTCTCAGTCCTCGCATAACCCCTAAACCTCAACAGTTCTACCTTTCAAGTTTCGCTCATTCTGGCATGCGAGGCCGCATTCTCCCACCTTTTAAGTCACGGCCCTGCTTCCAAGCTGCTCTGCTTCCAAGCTGCTCTGCTTCCAAGCTGCTCTGCTTCCAATCTGCCCTGTGCCCCGGGATCCTCTGACCCCCTTCGCCCGTCTCACCGCTTTTCCATCCCTCCTTTGAATCACGTGGCGTGCAGGCTCTAACGGGCGGGCCATGGATGCAAGCGCGAAACTTCGCGGTGATGACGGGCGTGAATGCGGGCATCACGGCGGCCATGAAGCGGGCGAGGGGCGGCGTGGAGGACCTGCAGACGAGGTGAGATGGTTGGGGGAAGAGGGCAGGATACGGGGAGTATGATGGGGCATGACGGGCGCGACTGCGACCATGAGCGGGCAAGGGGCGGCTCGGAGGATTTGCAGACGAGGTGAGATGGTTGGGGGGAGGGGAGGATATGGGGTATGTATGATGGTGGATTACGGCGTGAATGCGGGCATCACAGCCGCCATGAAACGCGCGGGAGGCAGCGTGGAGGACCTGCAGACGAGGTGAGATGACTGGGAAGAGGGGGGGTGCATGGGGGATGATGGGGGCATGGGGGATGATGGGGGCATGGGGGATGATGGGAATGACGGAGCGAATGCGGGCATCACGGCCGCCACAAACGCGCGAGAGGCGGCGTGAGGGTTGAAGTGAGGAGGTGGTGAACTGGGAAGAGGGTGTGCGCCAACTGAGGTTTATCCTAGGGAAATCGAAGCAGGGGCTTTTGAATAAAAGAGGGTATGGTGAAGAGGGCATGGCGAAGAGCACGTGAGCTGCGTGGAGCAAGGTTGGCGGGTGAGAGAACGAGGGACGGGAGGCATGACCATGCTGGGACTCCATTCCAGTGTACTGTCTAATGTGGACATAATATGGACATAATATGGACATAATATGGACGTAATATGGACGTAATATGGACGTAATATGGACGTAATATGGACGTAATATGGACGTAATATGGACATAATATGGACATAATATGGACATAATATGGACATAATATGGACATAATATGGACATAATATGGACATAATATGGACATAATATGGACATAATATGGACATAATATGGACATAATATGGACATAATATGGACATGACATGGACATAATATGGACATAATATGGACATAATATGGACATAATATGGACATAATATGGACATAATATGGACATAATATGGACATAATATGGACATGACATGGACATGTCCATATCAGAGCAATGCCCTTCCGGAAAAGGGAATCACCAAGCTGCATCAATTGCAGGCCTGCACCACGCCCTCCATGCCGCCATTCCACGGCTTCCGCCCCAACCTCGCTTCCCTTGCTTCCCCTCTCCCTCGCTCCCCTCCCCCCACCTCCTTCAGCGCCGTGGCAGCATTGGGGTCGGGGATATCATTCTCGCTAGTGAGCGGCGTGGGGGCGAGCAGCAGGCAATCCCTCCATTCCCATCGTTTTCCTTGCCCCCCCGCTTTCCCCCTTGTCGGTCTCTCCCCCTCCTTCAGCGCGGTGGCGGCATTCGGGTCGGGGGTGGCGTTCTCCGTGGTGAGCGGGGTGGGCGGCCCGGCAGGCAACTCCGTGCTGAACGCGCTGTCCACCGGCGTTGGCTTCGCCATCTTCCAAGGGGCCTTCTACCAGGTGGGTGGGTGTGTGAGAGAGGACGTGTGGGTGGTTTGGGGGTGGGGGGGGAAATTGGGGAAGGATGGATGTGTAAGAAGGGGAGGGAAGGAGGGAGGAGGGAGAGAGAGAGTGGGTGTGGGAAGGGCGCCTGTGACCCGTTCTCACTTCCTAGTCTCCCACTCGAGCACCCTCCCCTTGGTGTGTGGATGCGTCACTCCTTGCTGTTTTAGCCCCCCCGGAAAGCCCTGTCATCCCCATAGACCTGCCCATGCCAAGCCCCATGTGGTTCCTCTCTCCCCTCTTGGGCACGGCGTTTTGGGCGAGCAAGAGAGCGCGTGCACGTCTGGGTACGTGGAGCCCAAGGCCATGCTGCAGTCGCGGGTACTGGCCAAGTGAAAGGCGTCCAAATAGAAAGCCCTCCTCTGCCCACCCCTTTCATACACCTGCAGTTGGGCAAGGCGTTTTCAGGTGACGGAGACGCAGCACCTTCCGAGTACGTTGAGTCAAAGGCCATGCTGCTGGCGCTGGGGCTGGCATCAAGTGAAAGACAGACCTCCAGTGCCCCCCCCTTCCTCCCTTTTGCGTGTCTCCTCGTCCTCCCACAGCTGGGCAATGCGTTTTCAAGCGAGGGCGCTGCAGTGCCGTCCGAGTACGTGGATTCCAAGGCTGTGCTGCTGGCGCTGGGGGGGGCCAACTGCAGGGAAAGCCTCTTAATCATATACCCCCTCTTCCCTGCATCCGGCTGCAGTTGGGCAAAGCCTTCTCAGGTGAGGGCGATGCGGTACCTTCAGAGTACGTGGAGTCGAAGGCCATGCTGCAGGCGCTGGGGCTCGCCAAGTACGAGAAGAACTTCAAGAAGGGGCTCTTGACGGACGCCACGCTGCCGCTGCTGAACGACAGGTGGGTGGTGAACGACTGGCAGGTAGGGAGCCTTGATTCAGTTACAGGTGGGCTGGCTGATGCCACGTAGGAGGCCATGCTGCTGGCGCTGGGGCTGGCCACGTACGAGAGGAGCTTCAAAAAGGGATTGCTCACTGACGCCACACTGCCGCTGCTGAATGACAGGTGGGGTGCCTCGGCGTGCTGACAGGTAGGCCGCTGGCTGATGCCAGGTAGGAGGCCATGCTGCAGGCGCTGGGGCTGGCCACGTACTAGAGGAACTTCAAAAAGGGGTTGCTCACTGACGCTTCTCTTCCACTTCTGAATGACAGTTGGGTTGGTGCTAAGTCTCCGGAGGGGTACCTGGATTCAGTCACAGGGAGGCTGGGTGATGGGAGGCGGGTCGTTCAGTATCAAGGACTGATGTCGTCCTGCCAGTGCTCAGTGACACGTGGGCAGTGAGGTAAATTGCTGCTATTGTGTAATGGGATGGCTGGTCGATGAGAGGTCAGCTCTTAGCTCTTTCAGGCCAGGGCGACTGAACAAGTATGAGTACAACTTCAAAAAAGGGTATTGATTGCAGGAGGCGAGAAACCTCCTGGCCTGTGCGAATTTTCATGAGTACTTAGCTGTGCTTTCCTTGTCACTCCTCTTGCCACCCTCCCCACCTTGTTTTTGTAGAGTACCCTGCAGGACGTGAAGATCCCTCCTGGCCCTCACAACATCTCAAGAGCGCCCCTCCCCCCTCCCCGCTCCCCTCCTGGTTCTCCCTCCTTCCCCCTGCTTCTCTTCTTGCCACTCCTCCCTCTGATTCCTCTCAGTGCGCTGCAGGAGGTGAAGATCCCTCCCGGCCCACGCTTGATCATCCTCAACCACATTCAAAGGTACTTCGCTCTGCCCTCGTATAGTCACATTCAAAGGTGCTGAGCTCTACGCCGTTATAATCACAGTTGGAGGTTCCTTGTTCTGCCGTCCATGTAGTCACAATATAATTGTCTTGTTCTGTCCCTCGCATTGCTACACTAGCATGGTTGGAGGCCAGGTGCCTTTCACCCCGTGTCACATCTCCTATGGTCAACTGTTTCTGTGGCAATGCCATTGCTCCTTTGCTCCGTATGGACTACCGTACATAGTATGCTTTGCCACGAATTTAAGCCCAGCAGCAGCAGCCGTGGCCATTGAGTTGTCTCAAAGCCCACCTCCTCGCGTTCCCCTGCTGTGTGCCCATGCCCAGATCGCAGAAGTGCAGTGCGCATAGAGCCACGAGCGCCAAGCCCAGCAGCAGCAGCGGTGCCATTGGCATCGGCCATCTGGGGGGTCACCTAGGGGACAGCAGCAGCAGCACTGGTGAAAGCGGGGCAATGGTGGCGTCATTCTAGAAAAAAGCCACAAGCGCCAACCCACCAGCAGCAGCGGCGGCGTCATCAGCAGCAGCAGCAGCGGTCACTTGGATATCACGTAGGGGACAGCAGCAGGGGCAGCGCTGGCAGCAGTGGTGAAAGTGAGAAAATGGTGGTGTCAGTTGAGACTAATTTTACACCATTTTTGCCTTTTTTTACCATATACGTACATTACCGTAATCACCCCGATAGACGCCTCTCCGTAGGATTAGTCCCATGGGCTCTAACTCGTGCATTGGGACTTCACGTATGGGCATTATTCGATGATAGGCATGAAAGAATTTGAAAGGTGGTGCAGGAGCAGGCCCCAAGTTATCAGGCTTTTTACCCTGATTTTGCTCTTTTTTTTTCAGGCTGCCGTGATGTACCGTAATCCCCCGTATATAACACCCGCCGAAATAGTCACTCCGCGGGTGGTTTATGCGGGGGAGAGCTTATGATAGGGTGAATTTAGGAGAGCACCCGCTTTTCGGGGGTTGCATTTTACATAACACCCTCCTCGTTTTATGCAGCAAAGAACAGTATTTCGTAGTTTTTCAAGCTCAGCTCGATTGAGAAAAAAAACGAACAGGATGAAAAACGCAATGTCAACTACCATTAGCAGCGAAAAAACGGGCAGAAACATCAACACAAGTTGCAGCGCGAAATGGAAATGTCAGCAAAGGTCGAGACTCGGGAGGTTTTCAACCGTCGAATTCGCGGATTCTATTGTGATTTGACGGTCAGAATCCTCCCGAGCGAAATCCTCCCGTCGAAGTCGCGGATTCTGTCGCGATCGTGACGGTCGCATGTGCCGCACAAACCTGGCCCTGATTATAGCACTCAACAGGGATTGGCCAACGACGATTGGTTTGTGAGTTTCGTCGTAGCGGATGCTGTACTTCGCTAACAGTCGCTCCGCGCATTTTTGAGCACACATGGCCTAAAACACTCAAATTCAAATTGCATTTTACATAACACATGGGCACTATATTTTTTCTGGCCACTGTTAAGACCCTGTCATTTTTTTAGTGAATTTTAATATCCACCATAGGGTGTTATATACGGGGGATTACGGTACCAACACTGATGTGAAAGCTTTTTTCTACTGGGCTATCCTGAATTTTCAGAGTGTTTTTTCATGTGCACTCTGTTGGCTCAGCGCTGTATGGGGTATCGTATCGACACTGAAACAAACTCCCTTGAGTTACGGACATTTCCCCTGGCGCGGCGGTTTTCCCATCCCTCGCCCCGTCAAATCACGGCACGACACTGATCTCAAAAACTAGAACACTAGCTCAGTTAGGAAGACTAGGAGGGCCGCCATGGAATGGCGTGAGGAAAAGTAGATCTAGGAGCGGGAGAGAATGTTGAGAAAGAAGGAACTCGATTAGGAAGAGAGAGGTACCGTACGAGGGGATTGTACCCTCTACAGAAAGGTTCAGTAACAACTATCAAGCCTATCAATTATATATAACTTATATAATTTTAACAACTGATTGTACAGCGCACTGGGGTTGGGTCGCGAGGCATCTTGAATGCTGTCGCGCTGTCGACAGCTTGCACTTGCGAGGACTGCCTATTGGTCCTTGACGAAATTTTGGGCCACTGTCCAATCTGTGGAACCTGCCACCTCCAACCCTAGCATCACTGTCTTGCGCCTCGGTAGATTCCCCACTTCCATTCCAACCCAGGAAACCTCGGTGCGCCCCGTCGTGGGAAACCATCATGCACAACGGCCCATCGTGACCATACGTAGCTAGCCAGGTAGTGTGGAACGACAGCTAGGTTAGCCCACAGCAGGGACGCTAGTGCCGTATCATATAGCCTGGGGTAGTGCTGCATGACAACCAGGTTAGCCCACAGCAGGGACGCTAGTGCTGTATCATATAGCCTGGGGTAGTGCTGCATGACAACCAGGTTAGCCCACAGCAGGGACGCTAGTGCCGTATCATATAGCCTGGGGTAGTGCTGCATGACAACCAGGTTAGCCCACAGCAGGGACGCTAGTGCCGTATCATATAGCCTGGGGTAGTGCTGCATGACAACCAGGTTAGCCCACAGCAGGGACGCTAGTTTCGCCTCTCCACCTCAGCGCTGTTCCTGTGTACATCGTCTCTGCCCAGCCAACCTCTCCAATGCCACTCGGCGGGGAGGGAGGCGACATGGGGTCCGCTGACGACCAGGCAGCTTCCCATCCCTTCGGCCAGGTTACCCGTCCCGCCCTAGACTTTGTGCTTAACACTCTCTTGCCACCAGTCCTGCCTAGACGTGTTTCTTGGGCAAGCCGCCCAGTAACCCCAGCTACTGCTGTGCTCCCATCGTCCAGGACTCCTGCAGCCAGTGCGAACAGTAGTCCACGTCGAGAGAATGACGCCGTCGTTTTACCTAGTCCTGAGCCATCACCAAGAGTGTCCGTGCAAGAGACGTCACCTGCTTCTACCGAGCCGGTCCTGCTGCCCCCGCTTCCAACGCCAGCTTGGGTTGGCGTTGGAAACGAGGGTTTCACTGGCGACGCTCACAATCTGGCGTCTGAGGAGCCTGCCAAGGCGCCTCCGCTTGACATCCCCGAGTCGAGCGCCGGCGACGCAAAGAGGGCCGTGCCGTATCGACAGGAGACGCTGCCCTTCGCCAAGGCTCCACCTGCAACTGCGTCAACCGTCGCTCCCGGCACCCCGGCCTCCTCTTCGAGTCCCTTTTCCCCGACGAGCAATTTGATCGAACTTCTGTATGCTGATGCTCACGACAAGTTTAAGGCTCTCTGGACTGACTGTTACCCGTGGTTGGTACTAACTAAAACTGTCTGGTTTTCCCGCTCTCAAGTGCAGTGTCTGTTCCGAGCATGCTGGGGACAGTGGCAAAACCGGGCGAGCAGGCGAGGGAGCCAAGGATGTTTAGTCGCAGGCCTTCAAGCAGCACGCCGCCACGAACAAACACAAACTGGCTATGCAGCGTCAGGCGGACTTGCTGCAGCAGGCGACACGCCAGCCGCGCATCGACGAGCACCCGGTTGCTGTGGACTTGGAGAAGGAGCGCGTCACAACCCTGCTCAATGCACTACTTTTCAACTCTCAAAGCAATGAACCCATGGAAGCATGGATTCGGCTTGTCAAGTACCTCTCGAGCAAGGGTGTTGCTGGATACAAGAAGAAAGCTTACGGTGCTAGTTAATGTTGGTTGTTGGTTAGTGTTGGTTAATATTGGTGGTTAATGTTGGTTAACGTTGCTTAATATTCCCTCAATCAATGACTCCTTTGTTTACCGTCGTTGTGACAGGTACGGTTTTGGGGAATTCACCCAGGCCACTACGACGTGGCTGTAGACCACACAGCTTAATTACATCCGCGCATGTCCTTACCTTGGCCTCAGCATCGACGAGTCAACGGATAGGTGCCGAGGGAAGCACCTGATAGTGTACGCTACTTTCCTGCGCGACAATACCATCGTGACTGATTTTTTCGTCCTTCTCACGGTCGACAAGGCGGACGCATCATCGCTGTTGGGAGTCCTCCTGTCTCATCTTCAAGTTGTGGGTGTCGACCTCTTGCGTATCACCAGCATAAGCACCGACGGCGCCGCTGTCATGATGGGGGTCCGGAATGGGGTGGTCGCACGCCTGATGATGCGAGTTCCCCATCTGGTTTCTTGTCACTGCATTGCCCACCGGTGGGTTTTGACAGCTGTTCCTCTCATGCGTTGTTTATGTCATGAGACGCTATTCTAAATGCCCAGTCGTTCATTGCAGAGAGGCATTGGCAGCCAAAGATGCGGCAGATGCTCTTCCACAGTTCGGTATGATCGATGCTTTTCTTCGATGGTTGTCGGAGTTCCTTGCCCGCTCTGGACCCTGGCATCAGAGGTTCCTGGACCTGCAGGAGCTGTTCATCATGACATCGTTGGAGCTGCATGGCATCCACAACGTCCGCTGGTTGTCCCGCGGTGAGGCCGTGCTGAGGTTGGTTGCTGTGCTGCCTGCTGTTATTGTGATGCTGCACAAGTTGAACGATGTGGCCATGTATCAACTCGTCACGAGCTATACGTTTCAGTTTCCCCTGTACTTCCTTGCCAATCTGCTTGAGCAGCTGAACGTCTTGAACAAGACATTCCAGCAGCGCGAGGTGCGTTTATACTTTGATCACAACATCAATTCCATGCTAAGTTCCCCTGTAGCGTTTTAACACTCCCTGTTCGTTGATTTCGCAGCTCGACATCGCCGGTGTGCAGTCGCAGATCGCCCGCACCACTAGCTTCATCGAATCCCGCTACGTCGACTGCGACGACGATTTCGGTGGGGGGCTTAGCGAGCGGCTCTCCAATTTCCTGAAGGACCACCTCGAGGGAGGGAGCCGGAGCGTGACGGTGCAGGGTCATGGTGCTGATGGGCGACCCGTCACCCATACGTACTTCCTGCACGATGACCAGCTCGTGGGCTACGGCGGGCCATTCAACCATGACAGGTCTGTGGACCTGTGCACGGCCATGTCGGAGACCATGGTGCAAAACCTGCTGGATCGACTTGGGGACCTGGACAACTTGTCGGGCGGCCGACTCTTCATCTCCGATGGCTGGCCGGTCCAGAGGTAGGACCGTAAAGCCATCTGTCAAGAGAACCTGACATCTCTTGTAGCCATGTTTCGGGCGCAGAAGATGGACGAGATCCTGCCAGGTATGTGCATTCTGAACTCTGAACACTCTCAGCATCTCATTGATCAGATCATTGTCCAATGGTTGAGTACGTGCTATCCCTTGTTACCCCTTGCCATGTTCTGTTTTAACTTAACCCGCCAAATGCCTCTTGCTTTTATCCCGCATGTCAGGGATTGACAAGCGGAAGGCATTTAAGGAACTGCGGAGCTTCTGCCCTGTTCGTGCTGCTGCCCCGAAGACTGAGAAGTCGTTCCATGCGGGTCTGACGGCCATGTTGAAGACCCCAGATTGGCAAGATGCGTACCCCAATTCAGTGAAGCTTTGGGTGGCTGTCGCTGTTTTGCCACTCAGCACAGTGGAGTGCGAGCGCGGGTTCTCCCGCCAAAACGTGATCAAGAGCTGGAACCGAGGTGCCATCAAGAATGCGAGGCTCTCAGATTTGATGACCATGTCGCTCTTGAAATACAAGCCCAGCTGGGAGGAGGTGGTGGGCATATGACGCAGCTACAAGAAGCGCCGACCGTTCACAGAGGTTGCACGGCCCAGGAAGCAGCCCACCAGTGACAAAGGCAAGCAGGTGGCTACAGAAGATGAAGTTGAAGCTGTAGAGGACGAGGAGATTGGACAGGTTGTGGGGGATGAGTCGAATGACTGTTGGGATGATGAGTGATGTATATTACTTGCCAGCATGGATGAGCGCCAGGCATTGGAAATGTCAGTAGATGAATGCGAAGCCAAATTAGTTGCAGCCCAGCTATGCTACCTGCGTAGAAAAGGCGCTAGGTGCCCTAGTGACAAGTGTGTTGGCGAATTTCATGTGGGGTAGGTTGTGTTGTGTAGGTGTAGTTAGTTGGTGCCTAACTTGGTTATATGCTGCATGCATGCCCACTA